CATGTGAGAGGGCTGTGTAAGTGGCCGTGTAAAAAGACTGTAACTCAAGCATTTCTCATAATTTTATCCTTTACTAAAAACTCGTATCCAAGTCACATAACTGAGTTAATGATAAAATTGAAGAAATCGTCGGTGGAGATAAACTATATTAATTTATGGAAAGTTGAGAACTAACATTTGATTTGTGACAACAACATAACTTTCAAAATATATGCAATTTTCCTTAATTATTAACCCTACTAATGAATCTTTGTACATTTCTCCCTTTAAATTCCACCCATTCAAACACCTTTAAAATCCAATTTTAGCTCATTCTTCGTTTTTTCCTCTCCAACACGGAGGACTTAGATGTTGCTCAACTTCCTTTCGCTTTCTTCATAAAAAATCACTTTCCACAAAATTACTTCACAAAAAGCAAAATTCACGCAAGGCTTAATATATTTTCATAATTGTCGTTGCACTATTTGTGTTTTCAAGTGCCACATATTGATAATGTAGAAGATCGGTAATGATATAACTTTTAAATAAGAAAATTTCATTGATTTAAGGTCAATACGTGTTAGAATGTAACACGGAGAAAAAGTTAGACTATTAAAAAGAAAAAGAAAAGGAAGAGAAAGACTTACCCGTCGGTAACCAAAGAGTAAATTTAAAATTGAATTGAATTTCAATAATGGCTCAGTTGAAAATTTGCTCAATATTATGTGGCCATGGATGCAATTTGCACTTGAATTAAAAATTAGACTAGTAAAAAGAGAAAGAAAAGGAAGAGAAAGACTTATCCGTCGGTAATTAAAGTATAATACTATTCAATTTCACTGGTGCTCTTACACAACTAAATTTTTTGAATAATAAATTTTTTAATTAATGTGCAGTTAAAAAGTAGAAAAAAGTTTCGAATTTACGTGAAAAAATTTTTATTTTAAAAATGAGTGAGAAAAAAGAATTTGAAAAGAATGTTTATCAATCGTGACCCTATAATTGAACATAGAAAATGTGACTATTTGAACGGGTGCTGTTACACCACCGATGTTATCATTATTAGTAACTAGAACTCATTTTCCATCAGTAGGAGTCGATGTCGCGACGCGAGTGGTTGCCCACTAAAACGCACCGAGCAGTAAGCACACCCAGAATCAACGGCCGCTGCTCCTCTACCATGTTTCACATTGCAGAAACAAACAAATGGAACAATTCAATGATAAGAAAATCCAATCAAGTAACATTATTTTATTTTATCATTTGGTTTGTGATGTGATAGAATAATATTTATTCTATATATTATATTTCATACTGCACATTTTCGTCCTTTTATTGCGACTTGTGATAGATTTAGATCCAATAAATGTATACATCACAACCATTAGTGAAATCTTAAGTATAGTGACTATAAATAAAAATAACAATATAGGCCCCCATGAAAAAATTATTCCTTTTTTTTAGTTTATCGCCATCTCGACTGAAATCATTTGTTTATCGATTAGGTTTGTAGTACTTGTATCTCGAGCGTCTTTGTTAATATATATATATATATATATATATATATATATATATATATATATTTGGAGGGCGGCACGATAAATTTTAATTTCTTGGATTTTTAATATACATAATAAAATTTATTCTACCGCTGATAATTAATCTTGTACCTGTATTATCTCGAGAGTTTTTTTTAATATATATATATATATATATATATATATATATATATAGATATATATTTGGAGGGCGGCACGATAAATTTTAATTTCTTGGATTTTTAATATACATAATAAAATTTATTCTACCGCTGATAATTAATCTTGTACCTGTTTTTTAGATATTTTTTTTCACTTGATGGGTCACTTTTGGTCTCACCTCTAAGTGGGCCCACAGGGTTATCTATTTGAACAATTCCACGCTATACCATAAAAGTAGTGTAAATTTCTCCATGGGTCCCAACATTTCTGAAGTGTGACGTTCTTATTTCTAATTTACATTTTGTTGCACTTGTGTCTTAAAATTTCATAATGACCCGGTGACACTTACATGATGGTGGATTGAAAGGGTAAAATTATTTCAAAACAATTAATAGAATGACTTCAATATGATAGAATCTCTTAGTGTTAATGAAATTTAGAATTTTTTTACTATTCGTTAAATTTTATGTCCTTATTTCAACTTAAATGTTCGTATCATTTGAATTTCATATAAATTGTATCAGTTAGGGTGACATTAGGGTGGATCAGGGTACTTCTTTTCGTTTCGTTGAGAAATTCTAAAAGGCGGGATATGAATTAAAATATTTAGCTCTTGCTTGGTTCACATAAAATTTTCATTCTTATTCTTTATTCATTTTCAACCACACATTTTTTAATAAAATAATATTTTCCATCATATCAATAATTTTTCATTCTTTTTCAATCACACATTCTCCATCAATATAGTATTTCAAAATACATTCTTTCAAAATAATGTGGCTCAAACACACCCTAAATTATTCTGTTGTCTTCATTAAATAATTGAATAATGTTATTTTGCCNTTACTTGTAAAAATTTGAGTCGGGATCAAGGTATGATCCCCACTCTCACACTTTTTTCAGTGGGACGAGACATTTTGTAATTCCTATTTTTTATTAAGCCCCCGTTTAAGTCACATTAAAATTTTCATTTTCATTCTTCTACTCATTTTCAACCACAGATTCTTCAATAAAATAATATTTTTCATCACATCAATAATTTTTCATTCTTTTTCAACTACACATTCTCCATCAATCTACTATTTCAAAATACATTCTTATAAAATAATGTGGCTCAAACACACATGAAGATATTATTATCACTATATTATAAGATTGGGAATACGATATTAGTACATAATAGATTGGGGACATAGAAGCTATATGTATGAAACATCGAGGACAAATAGTGGAATTTACCCTAATAATAGTTTATCTTTTCCACTCATTCAACTGCTCTCCATTCCTATAAAATTTGGTATAAACTCAATGATCTCCACTCTCTCTCCTCCAATACGGAGGACTCAGAGGTAGCACAGCTTCCTTTCTCTCTCTCTTTCTCTAAATAGATCTTCAAAATCAAACCAAGAAAGTTAAATAATAATGTTATTGAGAAGCTCTTCATCACCAATCTTGAAGTCATGGATACCCAATTCAACAGTCGGGTCATCACCCGAATCCGATATTATACCGCAGTTGACAAGAGCCCGATCGGTCTGCTTGAAAACGTCGTTGAGGTTTGAAGATAGCCCGGGGAGAACCGGACACATATTTGAGTCAGATCTCAGGGAGTCGTTGAAGCCCAAGAAGAGTGTGAAGTGGGCAGGGACACCCAAGCCTATGAAGGTCAAGGGTGGAAGAGAAGGGCAAGAGGTGGGGTCCGGGTCCATGTTGTTGTCCAGCTCCGGGCTGGGGGCGGCGGAGGAAGAAGCGTGTGTGGTGGTGGCAGATAATGCAAGTGTGCCGCAGGCTTTTGTGATGGGCGGTGGAAGCGGAGTAGGTGGTGGCAGGGTTTGCGGGGGTGGTGGCGGGAGAGGGTCGGATGATGGGTTGGGATCCGGTTCACAAGATCCGAACAGCTGGAATGGGAATGAAAGTGTAGATTCTTATTATCAAAAAATGATTGAAGCAAATCCTAGCAATTCTCTCTTGTTAGCAAATTATGCCAAGTTCTTGAAAGAGGTAGAAATTTTGTACTAAATGTGAAAATTATTATTTAACTTGCACGCAGTTTTTGTTGATATTATTCAATCTTGAAGTTTAGAAAGTAGCCCACGATGTTTAATTGATTCTAGTACTGAATTTGCTTACATTTTTTATGATAATATTCAAATTCTATACTATACTCGATCAAAATAATCCAAATTCTTTGCTTTTCTTGATCAAAATGATCCAAATTCTTTGCCCTTCTCGTTCCCTAATTGTATACTATTCTTGATCAAACTTATCCAAATTCTATACCATTCTTTGATCCAAATTGTAAATGTTTCTAGTTGTGGTGAAATTTGATTGGGGAAGTTATTAATATGTTGTAGGTTAAAGGAGATTTTCCAAAAGCAGAAGAGTATTGTGGCAGGGCAATTTTGGCTGATCCAAGTGATGGCAGTGTTTTATCACTCTATGCTGATCTAATATGGCAGACTAAAAAGGATGCTGCTCGAGCCGAAGCTTATTTTGATCGAGCTGTTAAAACTGACCCCAATGACTGGTAATTTCGTCCTCTCTTCCAAGCTTAAATGTTCATGAATTGATTTTGAAGTCGTGCTTTAAACATTTACCCATGTATGCCTTGATGACGATTTCTTCCAACTTGAAATATCATGGGAACAGTTCGCCACCCTTGTCTGCTGCCTCATTGTGTTTCATAAATAATTTCATCTTCCTAGGCTCGCGTAAAGGGACATGAGCTCAATTGCTCATTCATCGGTATTATTTATTCAAAGGAGTAATCTATGTGTACATAGGGTTGACATAATGCGAGTGGGGTGAGCCCACGATACTGTAGCATGTGCTTCACCACACTCACATTATGTGCACATCTACGTCCACATAGCATGACCCTTATTCAAAAGAGTCCTGGATTGATATCTTGGTTTTGAGTTCTTGATGAACATCTTATAGCCAATCAAATTGTACAATAAATGTGTAATCTTATATGTTTTTACCGAATCTAAACACGTTCTAATGCTCGTGCAGTTATGTGCTAGCCTCATATGCTAGATTTTTGTGGGATGCTGAAGAAGAAGAGGAGGTTGAAAACCGATATGAAATTGACAAAACTGATTCTCCTCCCAAGTTCTTCCAAGAGGCATCTCGTTTGCCTCCCCTAGCTGCAGCTTCTTAATCTAAGCTCACTGTGTTACAGTCATACCATATATGTCGAGCACTGTAGAAAAAGTTAGTCGAATAATGACTTTATGTCTGAATTTTGTTTTTCGGTCCATCTGTCGTCCCACCACTGGTTTATCTATGATAATGCTTGGCCTGTAGCTGTAGCTGTTGCTGTTATCTAGTTTCTCTTGTAAATATATGAGAAAAATAAGTAGACTGACTGTAACTTCGTATCAGTAATAATACACTTTTCTTTTTAAGCAAATCCCATTCTTCTTACACGATAAAGCACACTTTCTTCAAATTAATGCTCACAAGGAATTCAAGTATTCAACTAGGGGAATTGCAAGTATTTGTAAAAAGTGAAAATATTATTTAATGCAAGAAAGAGAGACTGTAATTTCTTATTTTTATTTTTGAGAAAATTAGGAAGGAATTTATCAACCTTTCAGATAGAGTGAAAATAGTTTTTGGATGTGTACAAGTGAGATTGACTCCAAAGTATTTATTGATTCCAAAATTCAACCACCACATATTACTTGATTCATAAATTCTTCCAAAACATATTTTGTTGATCAAACTATATTGTTTCATATTAAAGCACAGTTCAAAACACACAAGATATTTTGATCAAATACCAAATCACTTAATACACCGAAAATAAATTGATGCTAGAGATCGGGAGCTGTGGCATAAACACAAATTCAGGAAGATTAAGGCGATGACCAGGAGTTGAGATCTGGCGTTAGGAGCACGCAATTGAGGAGGGCTAATGTATAAATTAGGAATCGAGGATTTGTTTTGAAGGATCATACCTCTAGTAAGATCAAAGGAGACTGCAGGAATTCTTGTCAAAAGTTCTACGAGGTAGACGAGTTTGGACCGTATTGTAAGTTTGCTTCAATTTATAGGGATTATTGATTGATAAAGTGTCCGGTGTTTTTACTAATTGAGATTTCCCCGTGATCATCTTTGGTGCTTTTACTACTTTAATTATTGATTTTGGTATTCAAATTTAGGATAAATTGACATATACCAATAACTATCTAACTTTATATTTAATGTCACCATGATCACCCAAATTGATTTCGTTCATCATGGTCACACAGTTTTATATTTAGTATCAAAACTACCAAATTTTATTTTATTTCATCGTGGCCACCCAGTTTCTTATAACGTTTTACAATAACTATCCAATTTCATATAACATTTCAGTATGGTCACATAACTTCTTTTTCACATTTTCATTAATTTTAAAAAGAGTAAAATGATAATTTTGCATTATATATAAAACATAAATTTAAAAAAGAATAAATGTTTTTTTATTTTTATTTTAAAAACGTTCATTTTAAAATAATTTTTTATTTTATTTTATTTTTCTAAGTAACGTTTTTTAAAATAGTTATTTTATTTTATTTTAAAAAGGTTTTTTCAAATAAGTTTTTATTTTATTAAGGAACAATTTTTTAAAAATAAATATTTATCTTATTTTGTTTTTCTAACTAACATTTTTTTTTTAAAAAAAATAGGGTTTTACTTTATTTTAAATAAGTATTTATTTTATTTTTTTAAAAAATAAGTTTTTATTTTATATATATATAATGCAAAGTTATCGTTTTACCCTTTTAAAATTAATGAGAATGGTAAAAAGAAGTTGGTTGACAATGGTGAAATATTATATAAAATTAGTCGATCATAATAAAACGTTATATGAAATTGAATGGTCTGGTGAAATAAAATCAAATTGGGTAATTAAGGTGACACTAAGGGTCCGTTTGATTGTAAAGGCGGAAAATGGATGAAAAAAAATGATTTCTAGAAAAGCAATTGCCTAAAAATTATTTTGTAGGAAATTGTTAATTAAGTGTATTTGATTGGTATAATTTTCCACCCTGAAAATTTTTAAGTTTCTATTCGTTTGGTTTTGTTTTACATGGAAATTGACAATTAAAGTGATAATTTTTTTCACAATTGGTTACAAAATTTGTTTCCATTATCAAAAAGTTAAAAAAAAAGGAAAAAAAATTGTTTCCTAAAAAATCATTTTTTTAATCAAAGTTTAGTGTTCGTTTGACTTTATTTTATATGGAAATTGTCCATTAAAGTGAAATTTTTTTTTACCATTGGCTATGAAATTTGTTTCCATTGCAAAAAAAAAAAAAAAAATAAATTNACATTTATTTCCTACCAAAAAAAAAAAAAAAAATTCAGCAGTCGCCTGTAAATTTTTTTCCCACCAAAAAGGTGGGAAAAATTTTCAACAAAAACCCGAAAAATAGGATGGGGAGGGAAAACATTTTCCGTGGAAAATTTCGGCTATCAAACAGTCAAAAAAGTGAAAAATAGAAAATACTTTCCTAGTTCCATGGAAAATTCCGCCAATCAAATGGTGTCTAATTATAAAATTGGGTGGTAATGGGGAAACAAATCAAATTGGGTAGCCGTTAATAGATTTAACCTAGTGTTAAATAATATTACAAATTTTATACAGAAATCAAGGGTTAAATATATTATTTTATTAAATAATATATGTATAATAAGTATGTACATTATCAAACTAAGCATAAAATTTGAAGGCTAATTATTGTTATTACTAGATTTCAAAATTACTAAAATCTGAAAAGAGAGAACCCATTCGTCGTTTTACAATCCTTTGCCTCGTCTTTGTCCATACACTATAATTATCTCCACACATTATTCGACCATCACACCTATCTGCAAAAAATAGACCATCTCAGTTTCATATATTCTTTGTTAGAGTTAATAAGGAGCGTTGATCTTTATTTAATTTAGAGGAGGAACTTCATATGAGAAATCTAATAAAGAGAAACGAATTTAGGATTTTCGAACATTTTTTATGCATGAAGTTAGTGCTTCTAATATAAGATTATGCTCTTGCATGGAAGAGAGATTACTTAAAAAGTAATTTACTTTTTTTTTTTTAGAAAAAGCATGATTAAAAAGTAGGAAGAAAAAAATAATAGAAAGTAAAATTTTCTAGATCTTACTTGCAAAATTTACTGTAAATATATGTGATTAAAAACAAATCCAAAAAAAAAAAAAAAGTACCATTTTGGGTGTCGGACGCCAAGCCTCTCATTTGAATCTAGTTAACAGAACCTTTTCGGGTACGTTATCCACACACACCACCTCATGTTTCACTCCCCCTCATAGTTCCGCCGCGTTATCTCACGCACATCATCGAACGGTTCATAAACAGCCCTTTTGCGAACACTCGCAAGCTTGGAGCGTGAGATACTTACCCAGCACATACGATATAGCTTAATTGTATAGTAGATGGGAAGAAATAAAATTTTAAAATCGAACAGGCGGTCACCAAAATTCGTCAAACCACCCACCATTTACCGCCACGTGCACCCTTTTGTTCAGATTAAACTGCTATGATGACCGATCGACGTCCAGTAATGTGACACATGTCAATCGAAAGGTAATAATGAAATTTTGTGCATTTTTAGGTGGCTTTATCGTTATCCTTTCTTTGGGGGCGTATAATTTTGAAACACAGAGGTACAAAAGAAAATTCTGCAGGCAAATTGTGTGCTTCATTTGTTTGTACGTTTGCCATCGATTTTGGTACTTTAAGAGCTCTTTTGGTTCCATTTTTTGTAGGTGAAAAGAATGGCTGAGACTCAGATCGGAAATAGCGACGAAGTCGTGTCGGTGGAGCTTCCTGCACCAGCTTCTTGGAAAAAGATGGTATTTTCATCATTTTTTTAAAAAAAATCTTGCATTTTTTTAATTTTATTTTCTTTTGTTGAGCTATCGGGTTTAAATTTTAGTTACACTTTTTTAGTATGTTGAAAATTTTAATTTTACTTACACTTGTTTGTATATTGAATTTTTTTGTTCATAATAAATTTTATTGCTAGGGTTTTTGGTAGAAAATTAATGCAATTGGTTTTATGAGAAGTTTACATTTTTTTTCCTTATTTGCTATTTTTTTATTTTTTTTTGAACCTTGAATTTAATTATCAATGTCTGTTGGTGATGTGTTTAATAGTATCCAATTCATTGATGAAAATATTATTTTCTTGATGGAAAATTTAAAAAAATTGTAAATTACTACTATAATTTTTGTAAAGAAATAAATAATTCTGTTGGTATTGTCACTGGAAGGCAATATTAATTTTTTTCTTAATCTTAATGAATTAACACATCTAATTATTTTATTTTATTGAACATTTTGTTTTTTTGGAATCTAACCATCAAAGCTTGATACTTGATAGCAACATACAAAGAGAAAAAAAATAAAATAAATAAAAATTGATGGAGAGGAAGACGGTGGGTGGGTTGGGGGGTTGCTGTATTAACATTCACTTCCAGCGCAAATAGCATTTTTGGCAGATTGTGTAAGACTTAGTTGTAATTGGATCATCTGCGTTTTTATTTTTGTTGTTGAAGAATAATGATAAAGATGTTTGGGAACTCAAGTATATTGCATAAATAGATAGAATCTGGGGAAAATATTTATACTGAGTAACTATAAAATAATTTTGGTAACTTAGTGGGTAGTGTAGTTTATGCCATGGTGTTTCCACATGTGCAAGTAGCATAAGACTATCCGGTAGCTATTATCATTAGTTATTCAATAAAAAATACTGTCGTTCTTTTCTGTGCATTTTTTGGAATGGACATGAAGCCCTTGCCAAATCTCTGAAATCAACTTGTTCTGCATGTTTGCTGCAATATTGCCCATCTAATTTGGGCAGTTAAACTTCTCCATATAGAAAAGTTTGACCTGCTAAATATTGACGCACTATGGTGATGTGGAAAAGATCTTGATGCTTAGCCAGATCATGATGTGGCAGCTTTAAACCTCAATTGAAGAAGCCAAGCCATTTAAGAATGTTGTTTGTCAACTTCAGGTAAATGAAAATAAAAGTTAAATAACACTACCTTCTTGCTAAGTAAAAAACTAAACAGCATAGCTGGTTGTTAAAGATAGACTCCGAGCTAAGACAAAACATCTATTAATACAAAATCCCATTTTTT